CCATCTCATCTATCATATATTTTTTGAATTTGTTTTTATGCGGCCTTGCTATTGCGAATAATTCTGCCTTCAAGGATTTAGGAGGATAATATTATTGATGTGGAAAAAAATAAAATTTCATGCTTGGGTTGCCATGAAATACCGATACTAATAGAAAAACCAACTAGATTATTAATAAAAACAGATGTTATTTAAAAACCGCAAAACCTGTCAATATTGTAAACGGTGGAAGGGGATATAAACCTTTAATAAAAGTGGCAAACTATGAATATAACCCCTCCTTTATGGTCAAATAGTAAACCATTATTGTACAAGTTAGTACCAAAGGACGCAACAGGATTCTATACATTTTTATCTAACCCAAGATTACAGTTTGAAGATGATGTAGGTGGATTTGGTGCAACAGTGGACTTCTAAATAGAAACGAACATAATTGAAGACAATAGTTATCACTAGAATCAGAAATATAAGAAAAATTAATAATAAGTTTATTAAAACAAAAATAAAGCCTGTATCGTGTACTTAAATCACTGAATATGTTGCTAGAGATGGAGACGTTTTTATGGAAAATTATACTGTTACTATTGTACTAATAAAACTATAGTTAGCTCTTTATTTTAATGAAAATATATTATCTGAATGAAATTAATGCTATTAATCAAGGTTTAAGGCATTAACCTTTTCATGCTTCCAGTTGTGTAAAGAGATATATGCTTTCTATCGGGGTTAACAGTCTCCATTAGATATTTCTTGGAAAAGGCTCAAAGACTATACAAAGTGTTAACAAATTTATATATTGGTATATCCATTACACATTATTTTTAAAGTATTTGTTTATCCTTAAATAAAGAAATGAAATCTGTCTATATACTTATTACATTTTTTTAATAGGTAACATATCTCATGAAAATCTTGAGAGAAATGAGTTCTCGAGTTCTTCCCAGTTTGAAAACAAGTCCCCTGGGTTCACCATTAAATTTCGCCTTCTGCACGCGTAGAGGTGACTCATATAATTTGCCTTTTTTTAATTTGAAGGTTGCTTTGCAAATTAGTCATTCCCCTAATGATTTTTAAAAGTTTGTATGTACAACACTATTAGTAAGAGTAAATACATCCTCATTACGGCAACACCGATATTATCTCCAATTATTTGTTTGAGCTGATGACGACAATAAAAGTAGGTGTAAAAATTTAAGCTTCACGATGTGACAATAAGTTTATGATTTCAGAAATTAACAGTTACCTACTTATTATTAAAGTAAACTTCCTTTAAATAGGTGATACCACTTAATAAAATTTTATCATAACTAAATTAATTTATATGTACATATAAATAAAGAATAAGATTAAATAAAACTGTCTACCAGTCTGTACTCTAATATGTAATAAGTTAAAAAAGAAGATTTATGATTCAATGATTATGACTTTCCATGAAATCTTCAGACCATAAAAATACTGGAAAATGAATATTTCACAATAAATTTTGCGGTTTCGTGTAGATTAAGTTATGCAAATTTTTTGGTTTTATGTTAGTTTTAATCATTAAAACACAAATACCAGATAATTACATTATTAAACGAGACATAGAGGGGTGTCTCAAAATTGAACTACCAACAGCCTGCAACTGCAACTGCAAATTTATGGTGCCAAATATTTTATTATTAAATAATGTTCAATGGGAAAACTGTTAATTTTAGCTTAGTAGAATGTTATGACTACTTTTGTAAATATTTTGGCATGAGGTAAAGGGGTCGTTACCTCACGCCATTGGAAGAAACTAGACATGCGAATATTTTACATTTAGTTGCGATGGAAGTTGTATAAATTGAAAATATAATTTTATCAAAGAAAAACTGTGGTTCGTCTACGTTTCCGTAGAAAATTAAGGTCATTATCTAGTTTGACCACTTTTCGTTTATTAAAAAAAACTAAGCATACATACTTATCGCTATTTGAAACAATTATCTAAGTTTAATAATATGTTGTGCACATGAATAATTACGACACAATTAATTTTTTAAATGAAAATGTTTCATAAAATGTCACAAAACAAAGCTGGGACGCTGGGACTAAGGCCCTTCGTATGCATTCGTGCAGACGAAAACATTTTCTTACCCCCATTTTTTAAAACTTTTTTTCATGTTTCCAATCATTCTGAGTCCGAAAATGCAAAAAAAAATGTTCGTCTGGTCGTCTGTGTGTATATATGCCGGCCCGATAACTCTAGAACGAAAGTTCTGATTGACTTGCGGTTTTGATTTTCTTGATCGAATAATTACTTCTAACTTAGAACCCTATTGATTTTCAGAATTTTAATTAATTACTTTAATATCTATTTTCTTAAAATCCATATATGCATTTCTTATATGACAATTTTAGGAATTCCAATTATTTCTAACGTCAACATTCCTAACATTCCATAAATTGCAAACATTCTCTAATGACCTGACAAACAACAGCTGTTGATAGTAAAGGTGAAATTTCTAAGGCGAATTGCGACCTTCATACTTGCAACCATAGCCATTTTGGAGGCTATTTTTATTCGAAATTAGTAGCCAAACCTGCCAACCCAGACAACACACCATATCCTTTGGATATCTACTGAACATCCCAATATCCACTGAATGTCCAGTCCATGGTGAATATCTATTTTATATCCATGAGATGTAATTTATAGACATGCAAATGTCCATAAATAATAGTAATTATATAACAAATTATTAAAAATTTACGCCATTGTGCTTGCCATTGTGGCTAATAGTATCGTTCAGATATTTAAAATTAATTTTTTTAAGGTGTATTCAATATCCCATGGACATCCACTAAATAATAAAAGTCTAGGCGCGAACGCAAACCATCGTGGATATCCACTAGATGTAATTTTTGATTTTGCTTACTAAGTATAGATGGCGATACCACTTTCGCATCTACTCATGCTCAACCCGTCGTAATTGCGTTCGATCGAAATTTCTTTCCCAATCAGACTCCATTGGAGACTGGAGTCGAGAATTTCCATTTATTGCTGAAGAGTCCTAATAAGGATGACTTTCTCCTTAGTGTTGAAAATATTTTGAGTGTTGAAAATATTTTTTCTCTGCTATTTTCATTCGACGTTATTCAATAATCATTGGTTACTTTTATGAACCTCTACTAAAGATACCCATAAAATATTTTGCTGAATATCCGAATTCTTCTATATTCTGGGATATAGACGGACATTTGGTTGGATATCCATATTGGATATCCACAAAATATATTCTGTGGATATCTCTGGGATTTCTTGTATTGTCTGGAAGATACCCATTAGATATTTTGCTGGATAATCCATATGATATCTTCTATATTCTGGATATAGACGGACATTTGGATATCCATATTAGATCCACGGAATATTTCTGATATCCTGTGGATATATTGGATATCCACAAAAGATATTCTGTGGATATCTCTGGGATTTGGTGTGTTGTCTGGGAATTTATGAACAATATATAAGCAATTTCTTAAAAATTACTTTTTTATGGTAGTGCTAACTTAAGCTTACTACTATTTCGCCCCTAGCCACAATAACACCTTCATCAAATTTACTGACTCTTTGTGGCAACCCCATAGAATAATTAACCGGCCATTTTATTTGGCAAAAATCAGAATAATGCTTGGCTGTGCCTGTCAAGTATCAGGATGTCAACTGTGTGAATGGCTCTTAAATGTTAAATTATTTAAAAATGTATACTTCTTTTGATATTTATTGCAAATAATTTGTAGTGTATCTCAATTCATGCTTTCCATAAATAAAGGTACAGCAAGATAGATAATATAATGTTCTTATACAAAGAAGTTTTTTATTATATAAAAGAGAAAAGTTATTAAATCGTTTATTGAATTAATTTTTAATTTTTCCTGACATTGATTTAATAACTAAATATTACCGCCCAAGTTTATAATAGATATTTTTAAATTACAAATATCGTCCTATATAATAATTTTCCCTGCCTTAACAATATATTTATATTATAACTACTGACGTTTTTTTTTATTCACCCATAACTACATTCACTCCCTTTCCTGTACAATTGTTAATTTTAATTAAGTAAATGGACTAAATGGCAAAAATATATTTAATTGTACGTTATTATAAATTTGCATAAGATATGGTTTTTTGTTTACAATAGCGATACGTATGCTTATAATCGAAAAGAGGTCAAACCAGATATTTACCGAAATTTGTTTGCGTTTCTGTACCACAAATTGAAATATCGAGCAATTACGCACTAAAGGGACACCTTGTACATACAGGGTGTCCCGAAATTAAAGGGTTATATTTTAACAACGTAATCTACATCCTAAAATAGGAGTAAAAGTTCATATAAACATAGGTCCGAAAACGTTTCGTTATCGAGATACAGGGTGTTACAAGTGAAGTCCTGATGGCACATTTTTGTAAATATTTTCTAAAATTTCTTTAGTCACCGGTTTTCCAAAGTTAAAAAAAAAAATAAAATTTTTGATTCCACAGGCCTACTAATTATTGTTTGCACTTTCAAATAACTGATCATGAAATTTGCAAATGCTTTTCTCTTGAACTGGGGTTTAGTCCATTAAATAGAGCGTAAAAAGTTAAGCATTTGTACCAAACTTCCCTTAGTTATCTTTAAACTTTTAGAAAATATTTACAAAAGTGTGTCAACAGGACTTCACTTTTAACACCCTGTATCTCGGAAAGGAAACTTTTTCGGACCTATGTTTATATGAACTTTTATTCCTATTTTAGGATGTAGATTACGCTGTTAAAATATGACCGTCTAATTTCGTCTATATATAGTGTGAGGCCGGCTTCACAGTTGACTAGGTTAAAATTTAGTCTTTACGCCGGCGCGCCGACCCTATTGCCAATAATTTTACATGTGCTGCTTGCTGCCTGTGTGTGCTGCCAATAGACCGGTTCCAGATGCCCTCTTTCATGTCCGACACCGATTATAAAAATAGAAAATGAAATAACTTACTGTCATTGTTCACAGCGTTGACATCCTCCTCTGGCTCGCACAAGCAGCTATTTTTCGTCAAACTCGGACTCGATCCTCCCGTCATATTCGCACAGAGTGATAGTTGTATGTATGAAAGTACGTAAACAAATCTAAACGTAAACAAACCGAAGTCACAACTTGGAATAAAATAGCGGCTAGCGGCTTCCTCTGTGGTGCTTTTAAATTTCGTAGACAGTTACTCAACTGCGGTAGCGCAGTCGCGATATTTTATTTATCATGATTTCACTAATTCGTGATTAAACAGTACCACTACGTAACTACAGGCCCGGTTTTAGAACGGTGGTGTAAGCAGGGGGGGTATTTGCCCTGGGGCACCAAATTGGAATATACGATAATTTCTTGGGTACATACCTATACCGGGTGGCAATAATATTTCGTTTATTTATGAAGCGATTTTGGTGAAATTCGGAACAAAATTACTAGTGAAGTCTGGCAGTTCGTTCCGTATATTTAACACGTGACTTCAGCCAGACCGTTTTTGCTTACGATGCTCATCGACAGATAGAATATAGCTACCGAAATGTTAACTACAATAATTTGTAGTTGAGTTTTTGATTAGACCCGTAATAGACGTTATTTACTACAATTGCCGCGTTTGAGAATCCACATCGGATGCATCTGAGATGTAGTAAATCTTTGATCACGTGATTCGGTATACGTAAATATAATGGGATAGATGTGTCCGATGTGGATAAAAAAACGCTCGAGATGTAAAAAATGCATCGGATGTGGATTCTCAAACGCAGCAAATTATTGTTTTATTTCTGTCTCATTTGGACACAGTCGACACTAGACATAATTTCGAATTGATTCTTTTTCTTAAACTAATTGGTTGACTTCGGTTTTACAGGAAATGTCATTACTTTGATTTTTTCTAATTGGTAGGGGAAACTGGGGTATAATGATTTCCTTAAACCTAATTTACATAAAGCTCTCCCATCAATGGGTAATTTAAAGTAACCAGAAATTAGTTTTTCCTGAGAAGTTTGTCATTTTTACTCTGGAAACCAGTTGCTATTTATGAGGACCGATTTTGAGATTTATTTTCTCATTTAATAGAAGTAATTTGAAGGACAGTATTTATGAATAACAACATTGCTTTGATACTGATGACAATAGTTCTTGCGTAGGCCGATCACTTTTCGGCCCAACCTCGTATTTGAGGCTTCAAAATTGTTTATATCATGAAATAAAACAAATTTATTTGTAATCCTATTATAGAGATACCGAAATGATATTTGTAACGAATTATTAGAAACAAGATAGGAATTTGGAAATAATATGCTTTTTAGATAAACCTGACGCAATTGTCATATTGTAACCTGGTAGTAATATTTATAGAAAATATTATTTAAAAGATCAATCATTTAATAATAACATTTACAGCGGTTCATTAATCCTTTTTAATGTTGTTATCAAATTATCAATTAATGTAACGTCAGCGTTATTTCCATACAGACACAAATTTTGATTCATTTGTAACTATTAGGATTACGAGGGTAGTTCTATTTTTTCTTTTAAATAAAACTTACAATGGTAAAAATCTAGGTTACTCTTGCAACTTATGAAAATATTAATAATTCCTGTGTTAATTTAGCCATTTGACCAGTAATCTCCATATTTTAAAAAGGATTTTTAATTTGAAATATATTTTAAATTTTATCTACATATTTCAAAAATGATTTTTAAGGGACGCCTATGCATACTTAAAATTGTACCTTTATTTGGACTGCAATGAGTCTGTTTGGCACCTGGTCGATAACCTAAAACTTTAGAATGCAATTTGGCAATTGTAAAAAAATTAAGACTGCAATTTACCGGCACCGCGAAGATAAGGGGGTTGATATTGCGGTTGGCAGTTGACGTTATATTATTGTATTTTTTGCTATTCAATAGCATTGTTTTTCTATACCGCTTTACTGGTAAATTAACGAACTATATCAACGTATTAATAATATTGATATTTAATTACGGAAAAATAAAAATTATTTTAGAACAAAACTTTACAAATGGCGTTAGCTTGCAATTTATAAACGAGACGATATTTTAAAACCTTTTTTTATATAATACCTAGTTCTGATTTTGGTTGAACGCATTGTAGTTTGTTAATCATAAATTAAATAAATATTTCTTATACTCAAAAAAATATATACGTTTTATAGACATCCTATATACGTCAATATTTTAATCTTATTTTATTTTACACAATATTGCAAAGTAATTAATCACAAAAGGAGTTATATAGATTAAGTTTACTTTGCGTAATCATATTGTGGAACGTTATCAAAAAAGTCACACTTATTAGCTTTTTATATTATTTTATGAGAATCGCTTCAATCATGCCAAACATAAATTACAATGATTTTATTTACAGTTCAAAGTCCGTTATATTCAAGACAGATTAATTGTCTTAATAATAAATTTAAATAAATTTATGTTTTGAATTTACTTTTAATTAAATTTTAAAGGTATATGTAGGTATCTAGTTGATCCAAACTAACAATAGCAATTGATCGCTCAGAAAATTTTTTTGTATATCACTATAGTTTTAAACTTATATAGTTAAAAATGGTAAAAATATAACAACGCGCCAAGTACATATTTTGATTATTTTATATCAGCTATTAAATAATTAAAATATTATTTTAAAAACAAATTTGTATAAGAATTTAATAAATAAATATTGTAGACATTCATATGTGAACGTACTTGATGATCCTTTATGTATATCATCTTTTACGATGTTTTACTTTATCAAAGCCACGACATAACAGAAATACGCGTGATGTGGCAATACGATATTAAACAACTGATAACTTGCAAAAAGAACATACACTCTATAAATCATTAATAAAAAGCAAAAAGATACATGTAAATAAAAAACTTATTTGACTAATAAAATTCGCGTGGATTTTTATTGGTATAGCTTAAAGTAATTAATATTTTTGATTAATCACTTTGTTATTTATATGTAGCTATGCATTAAAAATGCTTTTTAAAGTTCTTTGCAAAAATAGATATGGATGAGTGGTTGTGTTTGTTCTAACCAGAAGTTGTTAAGTCAAGACGAATGATGGATTGCTTTTATTAGGGGCTGATCTGCATTTGTTTGTATGGACCCCTATTTCTAGTATAGAGAATGTCAAATCACAAATCAACCTCAATCTGGGTTGCCAAATCTTTGTAATGAAAAAGCAGGACACTGTCGTTTCAGCAGAAGAGCCACAATTTTTTTTTTGAGCCACGCTTAATTTTGTTAGGAATTCAACCAAAACTTAAAAATGAGGACAAAAAACAAAATATTCTTTATTAGAATAACAAAATAAACGCTTTACAATAAAACAACAGAAGACATAATTATTTATACCCTATATATACAGGGTGTTACTTAATGAGGCCGTAATTCCAAGGGCGCATGTATGAACCGAGTAGTAAAGTTTAACGATCGAAGTTAACTTGATCTTATTGTTAATTTTAATAAAAGTGGTTTTAATTTTTTCCTCAAAAACGAAGTAAGATAAAAAAGAGTTGTATTTTTAGCTGCTTAATCGAAAAAGAAATATATAAAAGTTGAAAAGTCAGTGGCGTAATTTTTTTTTGTAAATATTATTCATAAGACTGCTCCTCATCGCGACGCCACTGAAACTCATAATTATCTTCTAGTCAGTGTAAACTTATCACAATGAAGAACACTGTCAAATTTCAACAAAATAGAAAAATGGATCTCTGAGATATTAATAAATCCTATTTCTTTTAAACTTTGACACTTGTATCTTGAAAACCAGACTTTTAAGAAACATTTTTATATAAATGTTTATACTTGAAATTGATTCAGCAATGCGCCCTTGGAATCACAACCTATCATTAAGTAACAACACATCAGAAAATATCATTATATATATACCCTATACGGTAGTGGCCATAGAACATCTTCCAATACCCCTTGACACAAGTGTGTGTGAAAACTACAGAGAGCCAGCACTAACTAGGGAAAGCAGGAAAGAAAATGACCTCGTCCAAGTTAGTGTCTGTATATTGACAGTCCTCCATGTAGCCAGGCATGCTTCCTATCGGCACTATTTCCGGCGTTTATGTTAAATATGTCTTCCCTAATTTGTTCAGGAAGACAATTTTTGTAGACAGGTCGCTATTTTTTTTTTTTTTTTTTTTTTTTTTTTCATTTCAAAAGTCTTTATATCTTAGTATTCAAATATATCATAATGTACAATAGATTTCTTCCTGACAGTAGTTTGGAGGATTTAACTACTGTGCTGGCCATGTAATGACCATGACCGATGTCTGGGCCGTGTATATACCTGTCTACTAATCAAAATTTTGAATTTTGTGTGTCCTCTCCTTATTTTCAAAAACATTATAGGACAATTTATGGTTAAATGACTAGAGTCGATAGTGGATTTGTTTTTGTCTGAATTTAATTCTGTCTTCCCTGAAAAACTGTTATAAAAAACAGGGTTGTCCTTGTATGTGCGTGAGTCTCGTGTTAGTTTTTGTACGTGAGAAATCCAAATCACTAGACCCCACAGTAACATCCCCATTCAGCACAGGAATTGTAGCAATAGTCGCAATTTCTGCATTGGATGGTGACGTCACCGTGTAGTCTTCCGTCCGACGGTAGTTGGTAACTAGTCGACTTCGAGATTACGAGATTTGGCTCTTCAGTGTAGACAGGTCGCCGATATGATGCCCTGCCCACCCGTTCAGTTCACCCGCCGACCAGAATTAGTAACCCTGCTGGCCATATTTCAGTATTTCACATATTTTTTTTCCTTGAGATAATACTTCATGATGCGTCCACGCTAAAAAATGGCGTTTGTCGTGTACATAATTTTTAGGTCAAATGCACCTTAGTGTGTACCCAGCGCTTTTTTAAAATATCTCGGCAACTTTTTGAACTGGAAGATACGACTACATTTCTCTATCGAATTTCAACAAATACCAACACAATATGAATTCTGCGCTTTAAGACGTATTGTGTAGAATACCTTTAAATAAATTTTATAATTAAAATAAAAAAATCGATCTGTTCTTTATTTGATCTTTTTGTCTGACGTTTCAATTTTATTACAATTCGCATATTCTAAGGAATCACAATTATTTTCAATAACTTCTACGCCACATTTCCTAGGAAACCAACCCCTCGTTCTATTCTCTGCTTTTTCAGAGTATTTATCACTTCTCACTTTTTCGCCAAACAGCCAGTACCTTAAACAGAAACAAGTAAAATTGTTTAAGTTAAAGCGGAAAAATGTGGGAAAACTTACTTTCTCCACCTAGTAACGATAACGGAATCGCCTACATCCAACTTAATTCGAGGTTCGTCATTGAACGGGTAACTCAGACATACTTTTATCCCGTAACTCAGCGGAAACCAATAACCTGAGGCCGGATGTACTATTTTATACATTTTGGATTTCATTCGTTTTTCGGCTTTTTGATCGATTTGCTCTAACTGAAAACCATAAATGACAAATATTAGATCATAAAAACAAAGATTTCAAACTCACAGTAAGCGAAAATTCATGACAACCATCAATCACGGGCCAAGATAAAATTCCGTCTCCAACGGGCTGGCAGGTAAGATTAATTACTTGACGTACGTTATTTTTAAATCCTAAGTCATAGGGAAATTCAAATTGTTCGCTTAAACCTCTTCTTCGAAGCGTGGCTTTCTCCATAATCCAATCTTCGATGCCTGTTCTATTCTTAATTACGGCCTTAAGCTAAAATATTTGTTAGTTATTGTCTGTTTTGAAATACATGTGGATATTATCCCTCTCCTAGAATGTGCAAAAATATTGTCACCCTTTTATGTAAACTAATATTTTTCTAAAATTTAATTATTTAAATAACACCCTGTTGGAAATACATCGGATATATTATTTCAATTAATACATCAGGCTAGCCCAGTCCTAAATGCCAAACCATCAATCAATTAAGATGTACTGATGATACAGTGCTAGTCTTCAGTGATAAAGATTGGGAAGCCATCAAGACACGTGCTATAGCTGGAATGGAACATGTCAAAAACTGGCTGGATGTTTTTTCAAAGACAGTGACTGATCGACCTCAATTTAGAAGCCTAACATGTCAAAATTTAGACATACAGGAAACAGAAACATCCAAATATTTAGGTATAATTATAGACCAGCACTTAAAATGGGACTGTCATATAATATATATAGCAAAAAACTTAGATTTCTGATTTATAAATTTTATCTTCTAAAACAATTTCTCAACCAGGATCTACTAATAACATTATACTACAGTCTAGTAGAATCTATACTACGGTATGGAATCTTAGTATGGGGAGACCTGTATGGAACTACATTAAATCAGTTAAATGTTATTCAAAACAAAATCTTGAAGTTAATATATAAAAGAGGATAGATTGTGTCCCACCATAACTTTATATAATGAAAAAATTAGCAATGTTAGATGTTTATATATTCACGCAGTGTGTTGTTATATACAAAAAAATGAATTTTTAAAAAACCCTTTAGAACATAGACATAACACTAGAACTGCATCGAACATGTGCATTAAAGTACCAAAACCAAATAGTGAGTTTTTTAAAAACAGTGTAAATTATCTAGGGACAAAGTTCTATAACTCTCTACCTCTTCATATAAAATTATTAAACAAATATAAAAAATTCTGTAAAGTTAGCAAAATATACATTTTCCTAAATAATGCAAAGTTTATCAGAATATTCCAAGAATAACGGACTTAATACATGGATTTTTTTTAAATAGTTTTCTTGCATAAATTGATCAAGGTTTATTTGTATTAAAAAAAAAAAATGTTTTTTTTTATTTCCTTTATAATTCAATAAATATAATTAAAATAAAATTTTAATTTTTGTCAGCACATACATGTGTTCTCACCTAGGTGCTTGTTATTATATAATTGATTTCCATTATTGCACTTCCATCTGCAAAATGTTGTATTTTACATTTTTTAAGAACTTGTCCCAAGTGATTTATATAAAGTATGAATAGTAAGGGTCCAAGCACGCTTTCCTGTGGCACCCCAAAAGTATTTAATTCTGGATTTGATAACTCATTATTAATTTTAATTACTTGATATCTATTTTATAAGTAATTATACAACCAATCATAGACTGTTTCCCTAAATCCGTATTTTTTTAATTTTTGAAGTAAAATGTAACAGTCAATCGTTTCATATAGCTATTTCTATTTTAGATTGATTGCATCTATCATGGATTAGGAAAGTAGTTTTTCATGATTTTTTTCTTCTTCATTTCTTTGAACACATATATAATAAATTATATACCTATATACTATATATCCTACCTGAAAATATAAAAGCATGCCTACTGCGATTACAACTCCAACTGCAAATCCAAGAGCAAGAACGCATAAAATCATGCCATACAAGCCAAAATTGATAACTGCTTCACCTTTATAAAAATAATGCACTCTGTGTATTGATTTATACAATGAACATCCTAAAATAATGGACGCCTGCAGGCATCCTAGTGTCGCGAACATTAAAAAGAAGATAAAATGTGCATGATTACCCCAACCTACACAATTATTAATCCATGGACAGTGATGGTCCATTTTCAATACACAACGACCACCTAAAAAAAAGATACCTATATCTAGCAAACATCTCAGGTTTCTTAAATATATCTATTATTTAAATGACAGATTTATACTTACATTTCCGACAATGATGAGATCTAGGAGCTTTATACCCTCGACATTCTTCACAAAATTGAAGAAAACTGCAATGCTGTTCATTTTTCTACAAAATAAAATACTTAAATACAGGAAAAAAGGTGAACATGAATAAAAAATCATTGAAATCTTTATTGCAAATTCAAAAAATATTATAAAATTATTCATTTTAATTTGGTCATTTACTGATATTTAATTTTTAGTTTGTGAGTCACATTTAATAGTTAATATGTGGAAATGCCACTAACTTCAAGCCCAACTACAGTTTTTAATTACTCTAAAATAAAACTATAAAATATCATTAATTAACGCCTTCAGTAACATGTATTGAAACAATTTCTATATTTTTTAAATTGGTAATTTACTTTCCAGTCAATATACTTACTGGTTTCCAACTCAAAGGTAAATAACCAGGTCCATGATATATCGAAGAAAGGAAATTATAAAGTGTGAGACCAGAAAAACTTATAAATACAACAAAATTAAGCGTTCCACCAATTGTATGTTTGGGCCACCACATATTCGAACAATGAATAGTCATTGCTGTAACAATCTTGATAATTCCTAAAATTCGAAGAATATTACTCTATAAATTATTAATAAAAAAATGTATTACCTAGTGCAGTCAAAGGGCCCCAATGGCATATTTTGAAAATATGTCTTAAAAACATTTTATAGCAATACTATAAATGGTGCAAAGGAATGATCATTATCACAGGTAATGTAAAAAAATGGAGACATATGGAAAATCTGCAAAACCTATTAGTTATAGAATAAATAACACAAACGTAAGATACATAAATTATATAAATTCATAATTAATAATATACAAATTCTATAAATATAACCTAATTCTTCTTCGATGGTAGTTAGCCTCTTGGCATTAGCCATACAGCAACCCAATAAGCCAATACTTTTTTTTTACTCACATATTATATAATTCAAGAGTTCCATCGATTACACTGCAGAAAAGAATCTTAATAAGCATATGGTTATCGATAGAATTACTAATACAAACATTTTTCTGTTCCCAAAAAACTCAAGAAATTAACTGGCTATAGTACTATATATAGTCTAGTACTTAAAAATTAAAAAGGAAGAAAGAAGAAGAAATGTTAGGTTAGGAGATCTTTTTTTGAATATTTGTGTTTGCATTTTTATGCCGCCTATTAGTTTATGTTTTTCAATTTTGTGAGTTTACAACAAAATTAATTTACTTTTTAAACCAGAAAAAAGTGGAAATATTTAGTTTACAAAAATGGAACTTACCAGTGATTTGATAGCCATTCAAAGTATTTTGGCAAACCTAATAAAAAATACTGGCGACTTTACAAGGGTGAACTATAAAGGAGGTATTATTATATAAAATATTAAAATGTATTTTTATATTAGAATAAATCGAATTATGATTTTAGGCAATGAAGACATTATCATGACAGTAATGATAGAGATACAAACATTCCTGAAATCAAAAAACTATATTACAAAAGACAACAAACCTAATGAAATGTTTAATAAAGAACTAGAAGATATAGTCCTCTTTCTTGCATTAAACACTACTTTTAAAACATCTCTGACACTAGACGATTACTCTCATCTCCTAAATATTACACCTCCTTTATCTAAATGCCTGTTTGTTAATGTTGTGTATGGCTTAGATTTGTGTAAATATTATTGCAACGTTATTGATATATTCCCAATCAAATTTAGTGTACAATTATTAGATGAGGTACTGCAGTGTTTGAAAAAATCAACCCCAAATGTTCAACTGGTATATACTAATATGTTCTTAAAAGCAGCAGCTAAAAAACTGGTTAATACAAGTTACTGTACAGAGGTATGTTACTTTTTATTTAAAAACAAAGATTGTCTGTGTACATTAGAAGGTGACCATTTGCTTATGATTATAAAATCAAATCAATTATTTGGTTGTTATGGAATGTTAAGTATAAGCATTTTTTGGGTTGTTAATTTTTTTCTGTTTATTTAAAAGAAAGATCAAAGAATTTTTAATGAGTATTGGATAGAGGTAGCTAATATAACATTAGTTTTATTATGTTGTATTGTTTCGTTCTCATTTATTGTAAATTTATGTAAATTCTTTATTTTTATTATGCTTTGTACTTGGTGTTTTATATGTATATTAGGGGTTCCTAATTGTTAAATAAATGATTATTATTATAATATAAATATTATTGAATTTGAGGTACATACAAAAAATGTAAAATTTTGGACTTGGTCACCTCCTCGTGTATACTGATATTTAAATGTTATTCATTATTTTGAGTAGTAAAGAATAGTCCCATTTTTACTTTGATGAAATTAAAAATGTACTGGTTGTGTAAGACATTTAATTTTTTTGCCATTTTGGCTTCAAAACTTCCTCTTCCTACCCTCAGTTACACTGAATAGGTACCCACTTTCATGTTTCTAACTCTGATGGTGACCATTTGCTCGCCTAAAAGTAAAAAGAATCAATTTTTGTTTATGGAAATTTTTCTTCTCTTTCTCCTGTGTTAGATGTTCTATTCCTGTTTTTGCTGCACCACATGTAGTCATTCTTTGTTAAAAAAAATTGGATGCAATACAATGGTGCTATAATTTTTGGTGCAATAAAAAGCAGTGACAAAACTATTGTCTTGATCATTACCAAAATGAATATATGCTCTGTCATGAATTTACCATCCTGGACTTGTTGGAATGCAAGAAAACACACATTTGATGGATACAATCAAGGAAGCATCAGAAGAACAAACAAACATTATATTTGGAGATTTAAACTATCAATTGACTGGGCAACATGGAAGTGAGGGATTTTATTAAGTCTTACACAGAGTTCAGTTTCAAACCACTTATAAATTTCTGCACTATTGTGCAATGGTCAGGAATCCATGCTTCACTTACTGTTAGTCAATGACAAAAACTAATAACATCCATTAATTCTGAATTGCCTATTGGTGTGAGTGATCATGTAGTCATTAAGGCAGTTGCACAACTTAACATCCAAACTGGATCCACATACAGTGTTAAAAAGAGAAACTTCTGGAAAGCAGATTATACATTAATCAATAGTGAGATAGCTCAACATAGTGCACATTTGCAAGTTGCTGCTAATAGTTCTTACAAAACATACTGCACAAAGTAATAAATGACAATATTCCACTAGAAGTAATAAATGAAAAACCCTGGATCAATCAATACCACTTCAAATAAATTGATAAAATCCAAAATCTATGGCATAGGTCAACAAGAGCGGAGGAAGATCCTGCATATTGAAATCAGAACAATAAACTTACAAATTTATTGATTGAATCTAGAAAAGATTATGAATATAACCTCTTAAAAATAAGTGGTGAAAAGAAATTTCCTATGTGAAAAGAATACTGTTGTAATTGTTGTTCAATATATTAATACACAGTAGATCACTTATATAACGTTTATTTAATAAAGACAATGAATATGCAAACAGCGTTCTAATTATTATTAATACCAGAGACAACCATTCTTTATCATCTACATCTTTGTCTCATTTGACATTACATTTATCTTAGATCGTCAATAACTAGACTTGAACTTAATATAAGGTAAAAGGAAAGCATTACTTATGAATAAAATGGGTTTATAACAACAAAAATACTGAATACAAACAGCACCCAGATCATGCTAAAAAACCATACAAAAAATTTAGCAATCACAGAATCAGCCATGATACAAAGATTTGCAGAACAGTTCAGTGCAGCTATTACAATAGAACCTGATACAGAATCACCCTAAATAACTGCCAGAGAAAAAGTTGAGAATAGCATAGTAAATATAGAATTTACTCCAGAAAAAGTGAAATTAAATAAGATTTAAGTCCTGGAATATATGAAATCCCACTCATTTTTCTTAAAAATTGTTCAAATAGCCTTCTTAATCTCCTTGCGACAGTTACGAACGACTCTATGCAAAAACAGGAACTGCCAATGGACTGGAAACAGGCTATAGTCACTCCTATATATAAGAAAAATGACAAAAAGAATACCATAAACTACCGTCCAGTCAGTCTTACAAGCTGTATCGGTAAAGCAATGGAAAAATTAATACAAAAGAAGTTGTTACAAATCTACTAAGTGCAAATAACCAGTGGACATCTTGGAATGACAACAACCAGCTAATTGATGTGATATATCTTGATTACCAAACTGGAACACTTTGGAATAAGAGGCAATCTAGTATTGTAAATTAAGAGCTTCTTATTCAACCGGCAGTTCTGTGTAAGAATAAATGGACAGCTGTCAAACAATTGTCCAGTAGAAAGTGGAGTACCACAAGGTTCGGTTTTAAATTAACCAGATTTAATAACAAAAACGGTTCTTTATACCAGCGAAAATTCATTGCAGTAATATTTTTGTAATAATCTATGTACCTATGTTTCATAATTGTTAAATAGAATACATTTTTTCAACTTTTAACACACACTGTATTTGAAAGTTGTGCTTTTTCCAGGTAGAAGATGACATAGACAGCTTATGCGAAGTTAGTAACATGATATTATTTAATTTATCAGGAATAAACTCTGACCAATTAAAAAATTTAAATCAAGACAAAATTTATAAACACATGGGATTCTGTCTTCTAACTCTATTCGAATTGTTGCTGCAATGCGACAAAAATTGTTTAAGCTTAAAAAAATTTATAACATATGTAATAAAAACTTGTTCTGCTATTATTCAAAATGTTACTCTGAATGTTTTCTGTACTTGGGCAGAGGTAAGTTAATAATACATCATTCTTCACTTTTATTAATTTATTTTCCTTGTAGATCAATATAGACGATGAAATTCTTCAAATAGCTGTAGCAAATAAAGCTTATTTAGTTTTACAAACTTACCAGAAATACCCTGAAGCTTCCGAGTTAATTAGCATGTTGGGTATTTTAGCCAGAAAGCCCAAATCTTTGACTGAACAAATCTATGAAGCAGATATTAATACAATCATTAAAAAAATTAATAAAAAGGATCAAGATCAAACCAGTTGGTTTAGGGCTCTACTAAAAACCCAAATTTTTGAAAATAAAAAAGCTCTAGAATGTGTCAGGTATAAATAATAATAATAATAATTAATAATAATAATCTTTATTTAATATAGGAAGTCCTAATATATTACATATTATCGTCAGTCTGCACAAATTCAGTTGAATAAACAAAATAAAATCTTGATTATTTTTAGAACATGGTCGCATTTGTGCAATGAAAATGACGTGTCCGTTCTCCTAAACTGGTGCATTAAACTGCACACCGAAGAATCTGTCAGTGTTTTCATACGATGCGCCTCAAATCTGACATTAGAAGAATTGAAAATCGTAGCAACTTCACACTTTTACAAAAATAAATTTTTAAATTTAGCCACAACAGACGTCGAAGAAAATTTAACTCGTATGTTAAATAAATTCAAAGAAGATGCAGACATGGAGAATGATTTAACGAAAGACGTGCTTATTCTTTTTATACAGCAACCTGAAGTCGTACTTAGTTATTTATATAAGGAATGCTTGAAAAATAATTTTTATTTAAAAATTTTAACGGGCACTTTCGATTCTATAAAAGAAATTGTTAAAATTATTGATATGGGCTCTAATGTTTTCTTAAATGTTGCTCGAGATAACGCACCAAATTCAAATAATCTAAATAACTACATTGAATTATTGAAGACTCTTAATGAAATACATTATTTTACTAATGACGACATATTATTGAAAATTTTGAACAGCATGTTGAACAAATGTTACTGCGATAAATTGTTGGAAGAGTTGGATCTTGTGCTTCAAATGTTTTTAGTAAGTAATTTCAATTTATATATTCTCACCAATATAAGCAAATACTGTCCCTAAAACCTTTATTCTAATCTAAAAATACTACCCCACGTTGGGCGCCAACGTTTTATTTTTGATTCACTGGGAACAAAATAAAATAAATAAATAAAAATATAATTAATTCTGTTGTTTTAGGGAATTTCGTTACCCCTTCCCCTGACAGAAGATACTTTAGAATTAACGAAATCATTTTTAAATATCATGAATGAATTTAGATGTAAATTTTTAAATTTCGTTGGTATTAAACAACAAATAGCTAAACATACCGTTGATATATGTTGCGATATTTGTAAGCCTACCTATTGTTTGGAAAGTAAGCATTTTTTGTATTTACTATAATAGAATTATTTTAATAGATGTTATCGTTTCAGTGGAAATACATATTGACAACGAAGATGATTTTACTCGATATTATAAACTATCGATGATTTCTGGTCGGGAAAAATCGATTTTTCAAAGTCTTTGTACTGATTTCAACATTAATAATTATGGAAATTGTCTGAATACTTTGTTAAAGGTAGTTATCCAAAATATCAGCATTTTGGTTCAATTAGTACATATACTGTTTTTTGTTGCATAGGTATTACCTCCTGCGGTCAATAGAGAATGGTTAGAAATAACCCAAGAAATAATTCACCTGTATGGAAATGACAAATGCCTAGAACTTTTGACAGACACTATTATACTTTTATCTCAATTGGTAGAAACGCAAGACGTAGATCAAAACAAATCGATATTTATGGCTCTAAAGTATGCTATTCAGAATTATGGATTAGCAATACAGGTAAATTTGGTTCGTTTTGGTAGATATACTTACAATAATTGCATTAATCCTTTCTTAAATAACGTAATGATTGGATTCTATAGATCTTTTTATTTTAGCAGAAGTTTTTGCTGAACTCAGAGTTGGATACAGAAATCAGTATTAACAAACAAATTTGTAGACTGTTGGCGAAATTACCGGCGTCCATAAAAGAAGAGGAAGGTCTGTCTTTGGTAAACGTTCTCACGGACAGATCCCTGAAAGCTTTAGCTAAAGACAAAGATTTTCTTTGTCAACTGATTATAATAAAAAATAATCGAATTTGCCAAGTATTAGCTCAAAAAATTAAGGAATGAGTCGTTTCATTGTAAGAATGATTTTATATATTTTTTTCATTAATAAATCGTTTAATTTATATTGTTTGTCCTAGCCACCACAGCCTAGTTTCATGTTCATTCTAATGTAGATATAAAATAATGCCCCACGTTGGACGCCAAAATATTGAATATAGAAATAAATTATCATACATACATTATATGTGAAAAATATTTCTGGGGTAGAAAGAAAAGACATTTTTAATATTTGTGCTTTACTAAAATATATAAAACGGTTAAGATAAACTTATAATCCTTAATTCAAAATCACTGGATATGATAAAGCATACCTATTTTATTTTAAATGAACGTAGTGCCATTTATCAACTGAAACAAAAAAAAAAACATTGTTTTTATTTATTTATTTTTTAATTTAAAAACTAACCTACTATTAAAGCTTGCATAGGCGTGATTGTTCGAGAAAGAAATTTTTATCAACTGCAAACAGAATTATTGAAGAAATTAACAAAATCCGAACACATACGTGTTTTTGAAATACATGTACATAGTGGATTATTCGTGACAGGGGTAGAAAGGGGTATTTGTCCCTCCTTTTTACGACCGTCAAAATAAATAATTATTGATTTTTTTATTAGTAACATAAAAATGACTGAGTTCTTATTTTTTCTTCTAATTTTGACATTTATGTTGCTTTTGAAAGTTTGCTAATATTACAATATACAAATTTATACATATACAAGTCAAAACATGATAAAACTAATACAATTAAAACTAACTAACCCTTCTACTATTTCTGAAAAGATATTACCAGTTTCAATATAAAAGTTATTTCTGTTCCACATTAGATAACTGTGCACATCAGAGTGATAATTAAGCTTCTTTTTTAGGTATACCGGAAGTAATCCATGTTTGATTTTATAAATAAAAATTAATGTATTCCTTGATAAAAGATTTTTGATTGGCATTCAATTCAAAGTTTCAAGCATTAGATTAAAAGTATATTTTGAGCAAGATATTCACATTGCCCTATTCTGCAGCTTCTGCAGTCGGTTCAGCTCATTTTGTTTTAGAAAAAAGAGTATTGTAGAATAATAAAGTAAAAAATGTATATTTTTGTGCATTCAGGGAAAATTCAAATGTTAATCAGATTTAGTATGTACATGTATTTCAAAAACACTGCATTCAGCTATATTAAATCTAATAGTAAAGATTTAACATTGAAACTAAAATTTTCAATTTAGTAAGGATAACATAACTTACCAATAGATTCAATGGGATGAGCAGGACCATATTCTGGAGTTTTGTTAACAACTTCTTTGGCTTCACTGTATGAAATTTTAAAAGAATTTCCATCCAAACTGGTGTTTACGCTATAAATTAAAAAGATTAATTTCGTTCACATTAAGTAGAAGTATTGCTTACCATGAAATCCCTTTAGCATCGACTTCTTTTGCTACCAAAGCTTTCCAAAATTTATGAACCTAAAAAAATTATCATTATAAATTAATGATCAAACAAAAGTTAAGGTATGAAGTTACCTCATCTATTACTTTATGGGCAAAAGCGGCGGGTTTGGCTTCACCATTAAATGCAAATTGATTTTCTGGTTTCCCATCAGGAATTTTGTATATTTTAAACCATTCCACAGATGCTTTCAGTAAACCTGGGAAATGCTTATCTACATCTGATACATCATTCAGTTGGTCTGCTATTGGGTCATTTACATCAATGGCAATTAGTTTCCAATCAGTCTCGCCTGCAAGCAAAAATAAATATTACTATGCATATATCTTTATTAATTAACAAAAAACCTTCAATAAAGTAAGAAATTGAAGTATATTTACCTTCGTCAATCAAAGCAATAGTTCCTAAAATTTTCACTTTTAATATCTCTCCACGCTTCGCTACTCTGTAACCTATTTCAATAACGTCTATTGGATCGTTGTCTCCCTTACAACCAGTACCATCATCTAAATGTTCAGGATTCTCCCAAGTTTGAGGAAGGGCGCCATAATTCCAGATATACCCATGGTGAGGAAAGCAGTTGGCAACGAATCTTGGTTTTCCTTTCTTTATGTCTTGTTTGATTGGATTCAAAATTTCTTTCATTGTTATCTTAAAACATTAAATGCCATTTTAACATATGATTAAAGGAACATTTTACAATGGCACTTTAAAGATTCTCTTCTATTTTGATTGCATTTGCATTCATTTTTACTCACCTCCATTTTAGCGTTTGACCATCTTGGCACCTCAACCACCATGTTGAAAATTTTTTTGGTACAATCAACTACCAACGGAATGTCATGAAGGGGGGAAATTGGGCCATTTTGATCCTCTGTAAAAAAATTCTACAATTTTTTCTACTGTTTATTGTGATAACAAAACTGATATGCCACCTTTTATGACTAAATTTCAAAAGTTGTTAATTTAGAGGATATCAAAGCTACACATATTTAAAGTACTTTCAAATTTATCTTCTAAAATAACTCCGTGAATTTTGGAACACCAGTTTTCTGGTTCCAGTATTTAAGGATGGAGACAAACATGATATCAAAAACTATAGAGGAGTTTGCAATCACTCCGCTATACCATAAGTGTTTGATAAACTTATTTATAATGATTTATTATGGCAATGTAAATTTTTTTTTTTTAATAACTAACATGGGTCTTGGAAAAAAGTCAACAACTACTAACTTGGTTTCATATAAAGTTACTCTGCTGTTGGCTGCATTGGAAAGTGGTAATCAAGTCGATACTGTCTAGACTGACTTCTCCAAGTCATTTGACAGTGTTAATCATGAGATATTTACAATGAAGTTGGGGGCAATTAGTTTTCATGATAATTTGGAAACTTGGCTATAGTTTTTTTTAAATATCAATAATTTTATCTCAAAACAAATAGCAGTTAGTTTTGGTGTCCCACAAGGTACACATTGATCGCCTTTGCTCTTTAATATATTTGATGATATAACATTGACCATTAAATAGATCTTGCCTTATGTTTGCTGATGATATGAAGCCTTTTAAAACTATGGAGAAAATTTTTGATACTATGCTATCACAATGGATTTAAATACATTTAAATTTAAGTAAATTGGTGGTGGATGAATCAAGGATGGAAAAAACCTAAGAATTCAAAAATAGGGTGTTCAAATTAAAGCGTTACAGCTATATACCACTTTTTATAAAAAAAAAAAAACGTTTCAGACGAAAGTTTTATAGTTTTGTGGGGAAAAACTTTTGGCTAAAATCATTTTTTATAGCTAACCATAATATAGCCAACTTTTTTTTCGCGCAGCAACATTTTAAAGTAGCTGTTACTCAAAAAGTAAAAGTCCAATAAAAAAAATATTTCCCTCAAAAGTTTCTTATTTTTTTATGTACTTTAAGAATATGTAAGAAATAAATGGGATTCCCATTTAAAAAAACAAAGTCCACCTCGATATGGCCATATTATGGTCAGCTATAAAAAAATGAATTTAGCCAAAATGTTTCCCCCAAAAAACTATAAAACTTTTGTCTGAAACTTTTTTCTAAAATGCATATTTTCGGCGGTATTTAACTGTAACTCTTTAATTTGGACACCCGGTATAAGTAGGTTTTTAGGTTATTTAGGTTTTATAGGTTTTTTAAGGTTTTTAGTTCATAATATGTCAAAAATTATTGTCACTATCATTAATATCAATATCAAGAAGAAGTAATTATAACCTGTGATGAAGTGTTGATTAGTAAAATTGTGAATTCTTAATATTTATCTTAAAGAACCTAAAATTGTAGATTTTTAGGTGCAAAAAAAACTGTACCTGCCAACCCTGGAATGAATGGGGTTTCTTTAAATACTAATAGATATTCAGTTAAGATAGTATAAACAAACCCCTCAGACTAAATACCCATTGCAAAATGAGGAATTGGGTAGATTTCAAACAATTAAAAATCCTTGAGTGAATTTTGATGCATCTCTTTCATTCAAGAAACCAGGCATTAATGTAATAAATGTTAAAGCACATTTTATAATAAGAAGCTCTTAGGATTTATCACTAGTCATTTAAAACAGTATATTTCTCACTGGTAAGTCAATTTTAGAATATTCTACCATTGTTTGAAATCCTCAATATGAAATTTATATTAATCAAATAGAAAAAGTGCAAAAGAAATTTGTTAAGTACTGTTGAGGTCAATTCGAACAATGATGGTGTCATCAAAAATATGAGTAGACCAAAAAATGTGCAACTGAAAGAGAAAATGGAGGTGTCTGAGCTTTTCCCCAACGGCCTTATCAAGCTCTTAATGAATTTGTTCCAACCTTTACGTGCTCACTATATATACATACATGCATAATTGTAATTAATATATTATTTAAGAATGTTATTAACTATATATTGGGGTTTCTCATGAATAAATAAATTTACCTTTGGTATTTACCCAATAAGATTAGATACCCAGTATTTTAAATTATTGTACCTATATGTATATCACAGAATAATTAAACTAGAATTGATTACATACATAAAATATTTACTTAAGGTTTCTTGAAAAATCAATAAAATAAAAATATAGGATTTGTTTTCTGTTTATACCTGAAAGTATACCCTTATCTTGTGCCCTTCTCTAAATAACAAATCATTCAATAGCAGACAATAATTAATCTAGGGGTTAACATATTTCAACATAAGAACTTTGACCATGTTATTCAAGGGCAAAGATTATAATATGTCAGCTTTTTTTTTAAATAATTTAAGTTCTTACTTACGAATGTAAACTCTGTAGTCAGGAGAATAAGGAGAACCTCTTTCAAGTATAGAATAAGACATGTTTACAAAATTTCGTACAGGGCTACGAAAACTGGTAAATTTTGATAAACTACCAATGCAAACTTTCTGGCTCACACTAGATAAACCTAACCTCGAAATCATCAACGTCATAGTTACTACCAATGATATATAGTTATGTGGATGTAGATTGATCATTCATAATATGTAATGCTTCGATATATTTCATAGAGTCCGCATCCAACAGCGTTTGTTTGGGTTATGAGGGGAAATGGATAGACACTTACCAGTGTCGCATCATTTTTACGGGGTTTGAAATTAATATAAATAATAAATTTGATACATACCTTCAAAATTCTTTAAATTTTGCACATATTTTATTAACTTGTATTATTTAAGTAGGTATCTAGTAATAGTAAATTATTTGCCGCGTTTGAGAATCCACATCGGATGCATCTGAGATGTAAAAAATCTTTGATCACGTGACTCAGTATACGTAAATGTAATGCGACAGATGTGTCCGATGTGAATAAAAAAACGCTCGAGATGTAAAAAATGCATCCGATGTGGATTCTCAAACGCAGCAATTATTATTTGTTTTAGACACATCAGATTTTTTTAATTCAAACATCAGACAGTATATAACGGAAAAATGAAGGTTGAAATAATAGGCAATAAAAAAGACAAAAAGCTTATAAATTATAAGATCAAACGAACTTACCTGAAGTGAAGTTCGATCTTAATTATATGATGCCTCGTCGAAGTAAATAAGATATATTGTCGAACCCTGTATATGCTTCGATTCGACCACATAGTTGAAAGCTAGAACTATTTGATATATTTCCTTCTCCACCAATCCCCTACTTTGCTTTAGTCATTTCATTGCACACTTGTTGCAACTTAAAGGGGACTTTAGAAATATCGGATAGGTCTGGTACTTATTTACTTCGACGAGGCATCATATAATTAAGATCGAACTTCACTTCAGGTAAGTTCGTTTGATCTTATAATTATATTTCTGCCTCGTCTCGTAAATAAGATATATTGTCGCTGTTTAAAGCATGTTGCAACAACAATTACGATAAAACATTTTATTTATATTTAACTGATTACATAATTGACCCACTTTCTAGAAAACTTAAAATGTAGAGATATGTCATGTACTCTAAGAGGAAAATTGCTCGATATCAATTACTCAAAATGAAGTTCATCCATAAGCTGATGGTCTGCGTAGAGGCAGCATGATGCGGCTTCCTAATTATAATGAACAGAGGCTACCACAATTACCCCTTAAGTCTTTATTTTTTTCTATATATTCTAACAAGGCTGTTGCTACGCAAATACATTAACAATGTCATTTTAATCTCCGTTTAACACAACGATGGAATCGGTCCTTAAGTAATAAAATACAAAAAATCACTTATAAACTAGAAAAATAAGCTAGAAAGTAATGTAAATCAAATGACAGTTCTGACAATTTCTAACGATTTGACATGCCAAGCAAAACGAAACAGACCAATGGGAATTCTGGACACTATTTTTCCCCCTGTACCAAAACGAAGTCTATTTGGACGATGGCTCTAGTAATTATGCTCGAAGCCTTATTCGCATTTCTGAAGAAACACCCTGTATATGTACATTTGGGTGAGCAATCTATATAACTATATCCATCATTGGGTTCATTATTATTTTTTTGACATATGACATATAAACATGTGAATTGGTGACAGCTGATTTTGAAATTTAAAATCTAACGGAAATATTAGGGATGTAACCGGTGTGAAGTTAGTAGCCAAAAACTGGTAGCCCGTTTACCGAGTACTCCCGAACAATACAGTGGCCCATTAAAAAGGGCAATACATACGTTTATTTCAATTTTATGTGTTAATTGAAAATTGAAGTCGTTTGTATTTTAAATGTTATTTTCCTTATATAAATAAATAAAAAAAATAAATACATGAAAAATAATACATTCATAATGAAATTTCTTAATATTCATATTATTGAAAATAAAATATCAAAGCAGAATTAATACCACGTATAAGTTTTAATACAAATAGTTACTGACCAAAAGCAGATTCGCTTAGAACCCTCGGAAGGGGTAGCAATCACACCCCCATTTCAAGAAATAAATATTTGACGCACTTAAAAATGAGATATCAAGTTGGGATTAATACCAAGTATACCTTTTAATGCAAGCAGTTACTGGCCAAAAGCAAAATCGCTTAGGACCCTCGGAAGGGGTAGCAATCCCACCCCAATTTTAAAAAAATAAATATTTGACGTACTTAAAATTTAGATATCAAGTTGGGATTAATACCAAGTATGCCTTTCATTGCAAGCAGTTACTGGCCAAAAGAACAATCGCTTAGGACCCTCGTAAGGGGTAGCAATCCCACCCCCACTTCAAAAAATAAATATTTGACGCACTTAAAAATGAGATATCAAGTTGGGATTAATACCGAGTATACCTTTTATTGCAAGAAGTTACTGGCCAAAAGAAGAATCGCTTAGGACCCTCGAAAGAGGTAGCAATCCCACCCCTATTTCTAAAAATAAATATTTGACGCACTTAAAAATGAGATATCAAGTTGGGATTAATACCAAGTATACCTTTTATTGCAAGAAGTTACTGGACAAAAGAAGAATCGCTTAGGACCCTCGGAAGGGGTAGCAATCCCACCCCCATTTCAAAAAATAAATATTTGACGCACTTAAAAATGAGATATCAAGTTGGGATTAATACCAAGTATACCTTTTAATGCAAACAGTTACTGGCCAAAAGCAAAATCGCTTAGGACCCTCGGAAGAGGTAGCAATCCCACCCCTATTTTAAAAAAATTAATATTTGACGTACTTAAAATTTAGATATCAAGTTGGAATTAATACCAACTATACCTTTTAATAAAAGCAGTTACTTGCCAAAAGAAGAATTACTTAGGACCCTCGGAAGGGGTAGCAATCCCACCCCCATTTCTAAAAATAAATATTTGACGCACTTAAAAATGAGATATCAAGTTGGAATTAATACCAACTATACCTTTTAATGCAAGCAGCTACTGGCCAAAAGAAGAATCGCTTAGGACCCTCGAAAGGGGTAGCAATCCCACCCCCATTTCAAAAAATAAATATTTGACGCACTTAAAAATGAGATATCAAGTTGGGATTAATACCAAGTATACCTTTTATTGCAAGAAGTTACTGGACAAAAGAAGAATCGCTTAGGACCCTCGGAAGGAGTAGCAATCCCACCCCCATTTCAAAAAATAAATATTTGACGCACTTAAATATGAGATATCAAGTTGGGATTAATACCAAGTATACCTTTTAATGCAAACAGTTACTGGCCAGAGGCAAAATCGCTTAGGACCCTCGGAAGGGGTAGCAATCCCACCCCTATTTTAAAAAAATTAATATTTGACGTACTTAAAATTTAGATATCAAGTTGGGATTAATACCAAGTATGCCTTTTATTGCAAGCAGTTACTGGCCAAAAGAACAATCGCTTAGGACCCTCGTAAGGGGTAGCAATCCCACCCCCACTTCAAAAAATAAATATTTGACGCACTTAAAAATGAGATATCAAGTTGGGATTAATACCAAGTATACCTTTTATTGCAAGAAGTTACTGGACAAAAGAAGAATCGCTTAGGACCCTCGGAAGGGGTAGCAATCCCACCCCCATTTCAAAAAATAAATATTTGACGCACTTAAAAATGAGATATCAAGTTGGGATTAATACCAAGTATACCTTTTAATGCAAGCAGTTACTGGCCGAAAGCAAAATCGCTTAGGACCCTCGGAAGGGGTAGCAATCCCACCCCAATTTTAAAAAAATAAATATTTGACGTACTTAAAATTTAGATATCAAGTTGGGATTAATACCAAGTATGCCTTTCATTGCAAGCAGTTACTGGCCAAAAGAACAATCGCTTAGCACCCTCGTAAGGGGTAGCAATCCCACCCCCACTTCAAAAAATAAATATTTGACGCACTTAAAAATGAGATATCAAGTTGGGATTAATACCGAGTATACCTTTTATTGCAAGAAGTTACTGGACAAAAGAAGAATCGCTTAGGACCCTCGGAAGAAGTAGCAATCCCACCCCCATTTCAAAAAATAAATATTTGACGCACTTAAATATGAGATATCAAGTTGGGATTAATACCAAGTATACCTTTTAATGCAAACAGTTACTGGCCAGAGGCAAAATCGCTTAGGACCCTCGGAAGGGGTAGCAATCCCACCCCTATTTTAAAAAAATTAATATTTGACGTACTTAAAATTTAGATATCAAGTTGGGATTAATACCAAGTATGCCTTCCATTGCAAGCAGTTACTGGCCAAAAGAACAATCGCTTAGGACCCTCGTAAGGGGTAGCAATCCCACCCCCACTTCAAAAAATAAATATTTGACGCACTTAAAAATGAGATATCAAGTTGGGATTAATACCAAGTATACCTTTTATTGCAAGAAGTTACTGGCCAAAAGAAGAATCGCTTAGGACCCTCGAAAGAGGTAGCAATCCCACCCCCATTTCTAAAAATAAATATTTGACGCACTTAAAAATGAGATATCAAGTTGGGATTAATACCAAGTATACCTTTTATTGCAAGAAGTTACTGGACAAAAGAAGAATCGCTTAGGACCCTCGGAAGGGGTAGCAATCCCACCCCCATTTCAAAAAATAAATATTTGACGCACTTAAAAATGAGATATCAAGTTGGGATTAATACCAAGTATACCTTTTAATGCAAACAGTTACTGGCCAAAAGCAAAATCGCTTAGGACCCTCGGAAGGGGTAGCAATCCCACCCCTATTTTAAAAAAATTAATATTTGACGTACTTAAAATTTAGATATCAAGTTGGAATTAATACCAACTATACCTTTTAATAAAAGCAGTTACTTGCCAAAAGAAGAATTACTTAGGACCCTCGGAAGGGGTAGCAATCCCACCCCCATTTCTAAAAATAAATATTTGACGCACTTAAAAATGAGATATCAAGTTGGAATTAATACCAACTATACCTTTTAATGCAAGCAGCTACTGGCCAAAAGAAGAATCGCTTAGGACCCTCGAAAGATGTAGCAATCCCACCCCCATTTCAAAAAATAAATATTTGACGCACTTAAAAATGAGATATCAAGTTGGGATTAATACCAAGTATACCTTTTATTGCAAGAAGTTAGTGGACAAAAGAAGAATCGCTTAGGACCCTCGGAAGGGGTAGCAATCCCACCCCCA